ATCACGTGGCAGTACCGGATTTCAGCGGTGGCGCCATGGAGAACTGGGGTCTCGTGCTTTATCGCGAGACTGCGCTACTTTACGAACAGGGTGTGTCCTCAAGCGAGAACAAGTTAATGGTCACCCTGATCATAGCACACGAAATTGCACATACAGTAAGCATTCTAAATAACGTTTACAGCTAGAACATGAAATCATACAATAGTAGTTAGCCATAAGTTAGCAATAAGCCATTAAAGTCCAGGCTTTTTGATATCATTGACAACTGTTTTTTTTTAATAAAAATGGAACTACACTTCTTTGTTAAATTAATGGCATTTTCTGCCGAAACCAATGATTCCAACTGGAACATATACAAAATTTAGACCTATATTTCAGTGGTTTGGTAATATGGTAACAATGAAATGGTGGGACGACCTTTGGTTAAATGAGGGATTTGCCAGTCTTCTTATGTACTTCGCCATGGATGCCATTTACCCAGACTGGAACGTGGTACGGTTAAAACAAATTATATCTAGTCAGCTCAAGATTTATTCCGCCTTTCCTGTTAAATAGCATTAATTGTTTTCCTCCCTGTTTAATTTCGTTTAGTTCACGCTGTCTGTTGTCGCAAAAGAAGTGTTTCCGGTGATGGTAAAAGACGCAATGACGACGTCACATCCGGTGTCAACTCCTATCGACACTCCAGACGACATTGCTGAATCTTTCGACTCCATTTCTTACAGCAAGGTTATAATAAATCTATCCATACTAATGGGATGATATAGGCTCCCTGAAACATTTAGGATTCAACAAAAGCATTTTAACTCAGAGTTTTTATAGAAATGTTATTTCTGTTTAGGGCATGGCCATCTTAAGGATGCTCATGGGTTTTGTCGGATGGGAAGATTTCCAAAAAGGCCTTAGGGTAATATCCCAGAGTAACCTTTTTTAAAATCCTTTATTTAGATCTGACAATATATTATAATGTATAAACTAGCGCTCCAATTGTTTCTATCGGATAGCTCTACGTCAACAGATTCAAGTTCCGGAATGCGAAAATGGACGAACTTTGGGACACCTTTTCTGAGGTAAAGAGCAGCCATGACATCAATCAAGCACATTTAATCTTAGAAAAAAGTGGATTTATTTTAACAACTACTCAATTGATTCGTTTTATACTTGCAGGAATAAACGCTTATATAAGGTTTTTAATGCTAAATCTGTTACTCTATGTTTTCTTTCATTTTAAGGCAGTGGACTATAGATATGACATTAAGTCCACCATGAACACGTGGACCCGTCAGATGGGATTTCCCGTGATCACGATGCAGACGGACGGGGACAGCTATAACCTGACTCAGGAGAGATTTCTATACCTAGACAACATGGCCGACAGTAACACATCGCAGTCAAACGAGGACGATTACAAGTAAGCAGGTCATCATATTCACATATTTCAGTCGGTAGAGCGCTCCCTACGTCTGGAGGTCCAGGGTTTGAATCTCGACCGTGACTGATCTACGTCGATAAAAAATGGGTAGCAGATGTTCCTACGTCATGCGCTCGGCACTGGAAGTGAAAGTTGCGGATCCTTTTGACGAGATTTTAAACACTGAGGTCCCTTGTCACGGCAGGCGTTGGCACGATCAAGTTTCCCTCACTGCTTAATGGCTTTGAGTGCCGAGTAAAGGTCAAAATTTGAAGACCTTCAACGTTCTATGGTGACGTCTCTATACGAGAGAAAAAGTCTCTAATGGGATCGACGTAAAACTAAAAACAATTAATCAATCATTGATAGTATAAAAAAAAATATATAATTGTTTATTCCTAAATAAGGGGGTATTAGGTTTGGGAATTAAATGGGTTTAGGTTGTTGTGTTGATGAACATGAAGGCTGAAGATTAACATGATCGACAGCTTATGTGCATTATAATGTCAAACGAATAAACTTGCAGGATAATTTCTACATTATTGTTTACTTATTGCTCTCTCTATTCTTCTCTTCTCTCCGAGACTCTCTCTCCATCTTCGCCCTCTTTTTTTCTCCCCTCACACCTTTCTTTCTACTTCTTCTCTATTCTGTTTCTTATACTCTTTGTCTAGATCTTGGCATCTCTTATTTTCTTTAACAAAACATCATTATTTAGATTAAAGTGAAACCATATTTAATCATTGCAAGCCTATAGCCACTTTTGTTTTAAGCTTATGAGAAAACAATATTTGTATATAACCGGAAGTAATTATTTATGATCCTACAGATGGGTGGTACCGTTTACTTATATCACGGAAGATGAACCGGAAGTCCAACTGGTCTGGATGAACAATACTTCAGGTAAAATAGGCAAATATATCACTAGATGAATAAATGATAACTTAGAAGAAATTGTATTATTTTAATTTACCTATACAAGGGTGGATTAACCTTTCTTCTCGCTGTATTTTATGACGTTTCAAATTAAAAGGATGGTCATAAAAATAACCATAGATGAAAATCAATTGAAGTTGATCTTCAGTGTCTCAAAATGATGCATTGAATATCATGGGTATGTCGAAGTGATTTGGTTTGAATAAGTCCTAACCACTTATTATTTAAATATTTTATCATTGAAATCTTGATTTATAGGATATTTCGAAGTTTTCCTCAGCCAAATTGAGATAACGAGCTTTGACTTTAATATTTCAAAATATTATTTACAGAACCCTATGTGTATTTTTAATGCCTGGAAAAAAAGAAGTCCAGGATACTTTACTTCAAAAATTGTAATTAATACATTTATGGATATCCCACTGTTGGCTAAGACCTGAAATTTATTTTCCCCATTTCCCCCAAAATTTGTTCAGCATGTTTGTCAAAATTCACTGCATGGACTTATCTTTGACGATGGGGATTTTCAATTCTGCTTAAACATTGCTTTTTAATGGTGTTTAAAGCAGGAACAAGCAGGGATTTAAACTAACGTCTATAATGTATAACACGAATAAAAGCATAACAATAAATCATATTTAATATTTAGACATAGCGAAAACTATTTAACTATATAATTAAGACTTCGAAATACGATGCTACGCGCAAAGAAGAATGTATTTAGATATTATTTAACATTCCAGCAACTATGCTAGAGCAATTACCTTCCAAATTTCAAGAAACTCGTGAACAATTGTGTTCCACTTTTATTTAATTTTCTATTGTTATGCTCCTTTTGGTTTCAGCTACAATTCCTCGGTCCACGGACTCTTGGATTCTGGCTAATTATGACTACATGGGATTTTACCGTGTTAATTATGAAGATAACATGTGGGGGAAACTTGCAGATCAACTGAACAGAAACCACACCGTAAGTTATACTGCATACAAGGAAATTTTTATCCTCGTTTCATTTTCGCCTCTTTCGCCCTACCCTCGTTTGGGCGAATTTCGAACGGCGAATTCAAAGAATGCAGTTAAATTTTTTAAACAAAACTATAACTAGGCGAATGTAAAACGGGGAAAAATTATTTGCAATTAATTGTGAAAGGGCGGAAATTACCCTGTATACAGTAGTAAGACAACCTGTTCTGGAACTTATAAATTCGAAGAAATTTTTGTCTCTTTAGATATTATGTATGCCTAATAAATGTACCGATCCAATTGTATGTAAATTAAATTGACTTTAAAAACTACATGTAATACTAATGATTATTTTAAATTAACTTTACGTATATTGTGATTTAAAATTGTGTTGAGACCACTCCAATGAAGAAAGGAAAAAATACATCTAAAATAAATTTTAAATAAAAAGTTGTCAGAGGCAGAAAACGCGATTTTTTTTAAAAGATATTACAAATCGTATTTAGTCAAAATCCAATTAAAACGCTTGCAAACTCAACCATTTATGAATGTCCAAGATAATTTTATTTGCTAACGGCCCGACTAAAAATTGTACATTTATTTCATTGTCTTCTTAAAATTACTTTCTACGTACTTGGAATAAATTTTCTCGAAATATCATGGGGTAATTCAAATTTTAGTATGTACATATTTTATCTAACTGCAATTTTTGGATTTTTCAGATTTTCCCGGAGGCAAACAGAGCCGGTTTAATTGGAGATTCATTCAACTTGGCGAGGTTTATAGCAATGATTTGATATTATCTTGTTAAATGATAAATCGATGATTTTTTTTATTAGATTTAAAAAAATCCACATATTTAGTAAACATAAAGTCTTAACTATTGATTTTAGGGCAAAATTACTGAACTATGACGTTGCATTAAAGATGACGACATACCTAAAGTATGAGAGGGGTTACGCCCCTTGGGTAGCGTTTTTGGATTCTGTGGAATACATCAAGAGCTCGATATCAAAGTCAGGGGCATACGTCGTCCTACAGGTAATACCAATTGTTTGAAGTATTTTTCATTCTACTTAAAACAGCTTAATTAAGGAATCCATGTTTGATTAATAAAAACAATATATTAGGAGCATATGTCCATTTTATAGGAAAGAGCTTAAATCAAAAGCATATGTTCTCCTACTTGAAAAAAAAAAACTTTTGAGAAATATGGAAAAGGTTTATTGTAAAAGATAAAAGAGCCTATACCCTTTCAATAATAAATATTATTTATTTACATGTACTTTATTTCGTCCTTTTAAATACTGTGAAGTATGTCTGAATGCTAAAGATTTCTCTCAGAGTCATTTTAACAATTGTTCCTAAAAATATGTTTATATATATACAGTAAACCAACTTTTATCCGCAACAATTTTAAGTCGCGTTTCAAACCAATTTTTAGGCCTTCATTTTTATACTGATGTTCAATTACTTGATCAACACATACAGCTCATGGCCAGTGTAAGTGACCAATAAAAAGGAGATGCTTTCCAACCGAAAATTAAGTTTTACGAACAATATATCTTTAGTAACTATTTTATAAATTAATAAATTTTTAAAACGTAAACTTTTTAATAGATTAGAATAGAACATGAATCTTTTGTTTAATATGTACTACAGGAATAAAATAAAACTGTTAGACTAGTTATTTAAACAGGGAGAAAATCACAAATTCCTCTGAGAACAACATTGATATTCCCAAAGACTGAGGAAGCAAATACGCGATACTATATTTCTTTTCCCTGTCAATATCATTTATCCTCTTTTAAAATGAAAAATGACAGTCATTTACCGATCAGTGTCCAAATCTATCAAGGTCACTCGGAAAGACCTCGGTCATTATCGTATCTCCTTTTATTGGCACTGACAGGGCCATTTGACTTGTGTTCACGTTATTTTATTATCTATGCATTACTGTAATATTTGCTGTTGATTGTACATTTTCGGGTATTGATTTTCTGTCTGTCATTTCGGCTTTTAGAAATATCTTCTTGACCTCGTGGCGCCAGTGTACGATTCTATAGAGATGTCAATGGACGGGATTCTACCCGACAGGTATGAGCTGCCAGATATTTAAGAGGTTATCATATTAGAAGAGAAACCCCACTCCCTCAAAAAGAGTCGAAAGTATACAAAGTAAAGAAACGGAAATAGGAGAAAAATAAAGCATGCAGTAAATTGCGCAAATGATTTAATATACCTAAACAAAAGAACATATGATCCAAGTCAAGAATTCATAATTTTCAAAGAAAAAAATTGTCCTGAAAAATGGTTTAAAGAATACGACCTTTTAACATTTAAAGTCACAGAGGAATTACTTTTTTAGTCGCGAAACACAACTTATTTGCTGCGTAAATAATCATGCATTGATTATAAAGAACCAAATATAGACGCCATTTTTCTTCGCATGTCTAAAATCATTTTGACTGCGTAGCCTCCACAGCCAATATCTTGTTACACTTAGTCTAAAGTACTATTTATGCTTTTCTGTCCCCTCAAATTAAAGTTGTATCTCAAAGGAAATTTGTATCAGGAGATTCGGAATCATTTTCTGAGTTCAATAAGATATGAATCAGTCATGGTCAATATTCCGGATTATGAACGAGATAAGGCGACTCTTTGTCTTATTTAATTGACAGAAAGAAACATGTTTTCTCTGATAGAAGCAGGAAATGTACCAGCGATATTGGATGTTGTCTGTGATATTAAAGTTTTTCCCATAAGTTTTTCTAGAAAGATGACAGGGGATGTATATAATTGGAACTTCTGGATAAATGTTTTTTATCATTCGTTTAATTTGTCGATGGGGACAACGACTCTTTAAACACAATCTATTAAATCATATTTAATAATGCTTGGAAGAAAATGGCTTATTACCAGCATTATATACACTTTATATGTCATTTTAAGTTGTACTTATGAAACTGAAGTACATAAAGCGAAGTGTCAATGTAATAATTAATATTGAAGCAAAAATAAAAAAAAAATCCTCGACGTTGTTAAGATAAACTACACTGTAAGTAATATAATTTGCATTTCTCCAACTTAGTTAAAGCTTGTCTGTTAGAAAGAAAGAGATGTTTACCAGAAGAATAATGCAAAATGTTTATATTAATTTGATATATATTGTGTTAAATGACTTTGTTTTACAACAGATATTCAACTTTCAATAAATAGTTTTTCTTTCTGAAGATTTGTTTTAGTAATTTCATAAAACAAACCTTTTTTATTGATATGAACAAAACATATCTTAAGAAATAAAACAAAGTATATGTTACACAATACATTTCACATTTTGCCATTGTTTGTGCAAATCATGCATGAAGGACATCAGACCAAACTGTTTTGCGACTAATAAAAAATCCTTCCTAAACCAAATTTTTAAAACGATTTCATTTTACATATTCATTTAGATATTTAAAAAAAAAAGTGGATTATTACTTATTTTACAGATGTATATTAAGTAGTTTTCATTAGCAAGCTTTTATTGCCAAAAAAGGATAGAGATTTGATTATATGACTACATTTTGTATAGATTCTTACGACAAACCATTTTGAAGCTAGCCTGTGATGTTGGATATAAAAAGGCAGTAGCATACGCCAGGAAAATGTTTTACCTTTGGAAAGACGAGGGGATTACGTAAGTATTCAGTTATACATTGAATGTGACCGTTCGGCACGGATGCTCACTCCTTCATGGCACCTGATCCCACCTCTTATGATTGAAGTAATCTGTGTTTGATATGATATACAAATTGCACTCTTTATTTGACTTTTGAGTTATCTCCATATAATTTACTTTTAGTCGTAACACGTTATTTAATTGGGTAAAAGATGTAATCCATTTCGTATAACTTAAGTTTCCAATGTCACAATGAGTTACGTCTTACTCCCCTTGACGTTAATTTTCAAATATGCTTAATTTGAAGGCTTTTTCTGAAGGAATTTTTTCTTATTGTCTACACTGAAATTAAATTATAACGTATGAAGCTTTTTTCAAATTATGTTATGTATATATCGTATATCATAAGTTAAAATAACCTTTATTTCTTAAATGGTTTTATCTGAAAAAAGCCCAGAGATAATGTACAATGTAGTAAGCTCTTTTGTCAGTAATATATTTGTACAGTCCATGGATAACTAGGTTGTCGGAATAAAAGAACCTACCTCCTTTCTTTATGCCATTGGTAAACTTTACAAATCAACTGAGAATAAGCTTGAAATTTGCTTTACCCATGTCATTCCTTTTTTAAAGTAAATTAAAATCCTTGATATAATTTGGATATTAACACAACTAAGAAGCTTCTCTTCCTAAATCTATATGGTGTTGATCCAATGCTAATATTTCTATTTTAAGCCCTTCCCAATGACTATTCCTCAATGATCTAATTGGTGTTCATTCTATTTTTAGCCTGCTCCGTAAATTTGTATTATGTTGTTACTATTTTATTTAATCTTTATGGTGTTAACCTACATAGTGATTTCATGTATTTATAGTAAGGAATCTACATGTATATGGTGTTAATTCTATTTTTAGTCTGCCCAGTGACTACTCGTCAGTGATCTATATGGTGTTAATTTTATTTAATTAGTCTGACCAGTAACTGCTCATCAGTGGAAAATATGGTGTTAATTCTATTTTTTTAGCTTGCCTTTTGACTGCTTTTCAGTAATCTATATGGTATTTTATTTTTAGCTTGCCTTTTGACTGCTTTTCAGTGATCTATATGGTATTCTTTTTTTAGCCTACCCTTTGACTGCTTTTCAGTGATCTATATGGTATTCTATTTTAAGCCTGCCCTTTGACTGCTTTTCTGTGATCTATATGGTATTCTATTTTTAGGCTGCCCAGTGACTACTCGTCAGTGATCTATATGGTGGGGGTGAGGGAGGGAGGGGTGGAGGAGTGGGACTACGTCTGGAACAAATCACAGTCGACTAACGTGGCAGTAGAGAGGGAGATGTTGATGGAAGCACTAGGACAGTCTCAGAAACCATGGCTACTCTGGAGGTTAGATTCTCCCTTTTCTATCTATCTTCCTTTCTTTCTTTCTTTCTTTCTTCCTCTCTTTCTTTGTAACTTTTCACTTGTTCTTTCTTTTTTCTGTCTTTCTTTTCAATGGCTCTTAGATAACTCAATTATTTCAATTTTTTTGGAATAATTTATCCTTGCTCTACACTTGCTTTTATTATAACGTCGGCCATCTTTTTCAATCAGATTAAATAACTTCATTCTGTGAACAGGTATGCCAACTGGATCTTTGATTCTTCAAGGATTAGGATGCAGGATGTGCGCCTTGTTATAAGTTATTTGTCAAAGCGACCTCTAGGAAGGATGATCACTCTTCACTTACTGATGACAAAGTGGGACAGATTAAATGACCAGTAAGTTTCATCCTTAAGATTTAAAAGTAGATTTAATTGAAATTTAATTTTTGTTTCATATTATAATTTTGAAAAAAAAATGGTAAATCAAGATATTATATTATTTACTTTTGAATCTATTAGCTTTTTAAGTTTGTTTTCTTACCTAGAAGTATTGTTTGAAAAAGTTAACTGACCAAGGAACTAGATGTACTTTTTGTTACATCAACTGTACATACATGTCTAGAATAGCATTAAAATCCTAAACATCTATATATCTGAAATTTGAATTTTATATCAAAAGCATTTAAAAATGTAAGGAAAACAACGAACCAAAACATTTTTTGTGTTTGAACCAAAGATTTTGTTTATTCAGATTTGGATTTGACAATTTTCTACTGAGAGAGACAATTGCTGAAGTTACACAGTTTGTTAACTCAGAGTTTGAATATAAACAGGTAAGTAAGGACCCTGAAGCTGCAGGCCAGACATAATTTATGTCAACTTTCCTGTCATATTTTTGTGGCATTCTGAATAGTTGACTAATTTTATAATAGTTGAGAATAATAGACAATTATTATATTTACGTACATTTCAGACAAGGACTCATCTGATGACATGTACCTTGAAAGAACACTTTTTAAAACAGTGGAAAAAATTTGTTTTTCCATGACGAAAAATTGCATTGCCAATTTTTAAAACTAAACACGATAAAATGAATTTATCTATTTTAGTTGGCAACCTTATTTAAAGAAAAACCTCCCAAGGTGGCGAAAAAGCAAACCCAGACTTCATTAGCTCTTATTAGGTGAGTTACAAACATACAGGTTAATCGTCACGTATGTACATTAGTGATTTTATACAATACAAATGCCTCATCATGTGAGTTATCTATTATCTAATACATATATCGATCAGTAATATTGCATGACGTCACAATAATTATAGAGTTTAAATGTTCAATATTTACATTCAGTGTAAATTTATTTGGGAAATTCATTAAGAATCAATGACGTTCAAATTCTTATTACGCATGCGAAACCTTGTCATCGTGCATTAGAATAAAAAGTAGGAACTATACATTTTCAATACTCTAGGAACATCAGAATGTACAATGTTCTAACTCCATTTGATAAAGAACTATAACCCCGTTAAATCAACGTAAAAATACAACAAATTTGTATTTAAAAATGTGCACTTAATTGGCATTAGTGATTAACAAAATAAGCATTTATTAAGAGGAAAAATTAGAGAATGTAAATATAAGCATTGAATTCATGTTTCTGGATGTCGTCGGTCCAATATAACACACCTGGCTAACGCGCGGTATTCAATTTGTCTGCATGGCCAGATTTGTTAAAGGACAGAAAGCATCTAAAAATATGAATTCAATGCTTAAAAGGAAACTATCCTTAAAAATTCTCGAGCAATCTTTTTGACCTTGAAAATGTTCTAAAAATATGTATGACGATTTGAATCTTTCTTCAAAATTCTTAAAAGTTTCATTATACATGTATGTACTATCTTTTAGAAGAGGCCATATGTTTTAGTCCAATGTCTTGTAGTAATTATTTTTTTCAATAAAATTTATAAATATTTGTTTTTTTTAAGGGCGAACATTAACTGGATGAATGAAAACTATGACATCATCACTGAATGGTTACGTAATCATGTGGTTGGAATGTTATGATAGCTTCTAATATAGTTGATTTACTGTGTTAACTAACTGCTTAAAAAATGCCAAATCATATGAAGAACATTTTGCAATAGTTATATGTGACATCATATTTTATAAAACTGGATGTTAAATTTTATCCTGCGTGCTAATTTGTATGTAAAAACAAAATTAAAATTTTGAGTTGTACAAGTTTTAAATTTTGAAATAGGAAATCAGTAAAATAGAAAAAATACCTTTATTAAATTGAAGTGAAGTTTATGAGATTGATCGATTTGGTTATGTTGAAGTATTGTGTAATGATGTGTAACTTTACATATAAGACATCATATATTGTACATATAAAAGATGAGAATTTTGTTTGTGAATACTTTGTAAAGGGTGTCGTGGTCATATTTGTCGTATATAACGTTTAAAATGTATATTTTTCATAACGTAAATATTGATTTTTTCGTTCATTTTCTTTAATATCTATGTATTTACGTAACATAAAATGTATTTATTGTATATTAATATGTATTATGTATTTATTTTATATAAAATATATGTTTTTCTATTATATATAATATGTTTGAGAGATAAATTAAGGAAGAACAGACAAATATTAAAAATATAATATAATTCTTTCATAGAACATATTCTTTCCATTTAATACACAGACTAATGTAAAAGATAAAGTAATTAGCAGTATTTACGTTTTCTGAAATGTTTTTATATTTGTGAAAAATAAAATTGGGTTTACTTTTGATGTGCAATTTTTAAATGATATATCAAGAATCAGAAAATAAAAAAATTAAAAAATGATACTTTTAAGTCTGATTGCTTGTTAAAATTTTCAACTTGCTTAGTTTTTAACTTATTTTCAAGATTCAACATTAAGTGAATACAATGCAGTTAGATTATCTTTATATCTTGCTTCCTTATAATTATACAATTCTGCATGGTTAATTTTGAAGATAAAAAATTCAGCTCATATTTATTTCTCCTTTCATTATTACAAATTTTCTTGCAGATATCTTGTTTTATCTGATCTGTTTATCAAATTTGCATTTTTTCATTATGATATGTAAACGAAAACTTCCGAATTTTTAATTCAATAACCGTTGTTTTCCTTGTATCCCATTTAAATCTTACTGTTCTCGATTGTGGACAACAGTTACAGCTTTTTGATCCTCGATCCAAATATACTAAAAAGCGAGTACACCTTATACAGTTTTCTCTTGAATCGTATGTTAAAAATACTGTGTAACAGAAAAAAGGAACAATTATACCATTATAAATAAAGTCTTATTTGACTTTTTCCATCAATTTAAACCTAAACTATTGTTATGACGGATCAGAATTTATTCACTTGTCTATATAGGAAATGAAAGCGCTTGCTTGCCAATATTTATTGGAAGTATACATTTACAAAACACAAGTCTTCAAATACCAATGCTTAACCCCCCCCCCCCCCCCTTCATGACACATATATCAAAAATATGATTAATCACACATAAGAGTAAAAAATGCATTTGAACACAATGCTTTTATATTTGTTTTACTTCACTAATTAAAAACGTAATATAATACATGTGTAAACATCCTATTTTTCAATTCATCATAAAAAACAAGTCATATGTTGAAAAAACTATGGAAACTCTTTCATACTCCGCAGCAATTGTTAGGTAAACAAAATGAATACTCATTCTCACAAACTTACGTAAGGGTCATATATTATAATGTACAATTAATTGACTAGTTTAAATAAAACCTATGCAAAATAAATGTAAGTACTAGTTAGAACTATTTATAATCACATTTCGACTATATGTAGCTACTGTGTACCATTACACAACAATCTTACATTTATATCAAATTTTACATAAAATTATCAAAAGCGACTAAGCAAATTGTTTTCTTTGACAATCAATCCGTTGTGTACAAAACTTTTAATTTTCTTGTAATGAAAACAATTACTTTCTTTATTAAACAAAATACAAGTAAAATGGGTGAAGTAAGTGACAGGGTGGGTGGGTGGGTGGGTGTGAATATCACAAAGCAAAGCCTTCGAATGCATTTGTTAAAAGCGTGATTAAAGTGAATACCTCTTCACCTGTTCTACATGCATCGACCTTTAAATACATTTGACCAATAGCTCTGTCGAACTTCTATTGCATTTGTTAAACAAAAGCACGTGTTGAGTACATATGATAAATAAATTTATGTTCTAATTCGTTTCACTCAAATGAACATAAATTATTTGACAATCAAAACAAGAACACTTGTCTATATAGGAAATGGAACTTCTTGCAATATTTGTTATGACCAGAGGGCATTTGAGGGTTTTCTCTACAAGCTCAAGAAGCAGTTAAAATTTAATGTTCATTTATATAAGGAATCTTTGCTAAATTTTTGTAAATGTTGATCTTTCTTGCATTTTTCTTCTCATACGTGTGTTTAACAATTTCTTGTGGAAACTATATTTATTTATTTATTTTTTTAAGTAAAACTAGGCATATGCCAAGGAACATTCCCCCCTCTATATTTGCCCAAATAAATATAAAGCAATCAAAATGTTTATCCGATCCTTGTGTTGAATATATGTGTGGAACAAGTCCTTTTTAAACAAGCTTTTGTAACAAAACAACCATAGCTTTGACGCTGGTACTGGAAATAAAAAACAGATCCTCTCTACTTACTTTGACAGGGCGTTTTGCTTTTTCTATAAATGATAAAGAATAAGTATGATAAAATAACATCAAATTTCAAATATTGATCTATTCAATTAACACAAACATTCATCTTAAATGTATCACACCTGTAATTGTTTTAAACACTATATAATTCTATATAGAATAAAAAATCGTTAAAAATTGGGTATTTGTTTACATGAAAAAATATTTAGCACTGGAGGTGTTAAACATTCCTCGGTCACATTGACACTGTACACAAAAAACAGGGTACCCACACGGCATTTTCAGACTTTTTCCATCTGCAAACACGGCTACCCTCAAACACGTGTTTTCACTGTGTTTATAAACACAGTGCACTACAGGAAGTAGCCTACCAATGCCATCAAAAAAATACAACCTGTCAAAAACCTTTATTTATTCACAAAACACATAAAATTTACTAGGCACGGGTACCAAAGTTGTAAAAATGGCATGGAAAAAAATGGAAGAAAATAGAAAAACTTCTCAAAAGAAAAGAAAAAATATTTTATATATATGGACCTACATTTGACTAAGTTCATTATATAACTTTATACAATTATCGGTGTGATAATTGAAGGACCTTGAAGGAGGTGTACGATTTTTACCATTTTTGCACCCGAGATTCATTAGATAATTGTCCCCAACATCCCTAAGTCTGGTCATCTGAATTCCCTTATTTCTGAAGATATGAAGCATTTATCTTCCTTACTCCAAGTCTGTCAAGAATAACACACGGAGTACTCTCGAAGCATTTTTTTTGTGCATTCTTGGAAGCAGAGTTTAATCATTAAAAGAATAAGCTTGGCAACCACTTTTTTATCTATGGAGAGTAAATGCTTTGGTCTTCATCACACAGAAAAGACTTTACAAGTCTAAGGCCATTATGTAATTATTACATAACAAAGTTGCATTTTCCCCTTAAAGGAATGAACAAAAATACAGAAATTGTTAAATACTGGGTTGATAATGAAAACTATCTGGTCAATTTATGTTCCAAATAAAGCCTAGGTATTTGTCTACAAGCTGCTGTGCAGAAGTTTATCTAAATGCTGTGTTGTAACTCAGGGCAGTCAAAATCATATCAGCATCTAGGGAGGTTCTTCACAGCTCCCACACTCCATTAAACTGGCTTTGATGATAAGAAACTGGAGACAACAATTCAGAGATGTAATTTATTGTTGTGATTTATGTAACTGGCTTTCTCTTAAGACACAAATTAGCCATGAAATTTCAATTTAACATGCATAATTATTCTCTTTTCATGGATTTACTCAGGAATTCCAAAGGAGTTTAATGAATTTCCATGATTTATGCAAGATTATATCTTTTTGTTTCAACAAATTTACAATAAAAAATAAACATTTAAATTTTAAAATATAAATATTAAACATTTCTATGAGTTTGAACACTTTCTATGTGACAAAATACATCACAGAGACCAGATTCAGGACATCCTCAATGATTCTTTGAGGTGGGTGGGTGTACAAAAAACTGCTGATAAAATTTATAGGAAGTGATCTGAGAAGAAAGGTGCACCTTATTAGCTGAATTATAGCTATTCTGATATTTTAATTATGTAAATATGCCAAATTTTTTCATCAGTTAAATTTGGAATTTATTAATATTTCAGTACAATGATATACTTAATAGATCATGCTCATATAAGCCTCACTGAGTGAGACTTAATTCAAAAGTGACAGTCAACACCTACATATAAATGAAAAAATAACAAAAAACAGTCTCTGACAAACTGAAAAAACATGAATGTCAGCTGCGAAAGCATGAATAAAGTCCTGAGAACCACAAGAGGCATGCCATGGTGCTAAGTGACATTCTGCACTACATGTATGATGCATGGTTAGAACTCAGAATAAGTATTATCATGCAGACCCTGGCAGCATTTCAGGATTTTTTGGTCATAATCTTCCTTACTGTGAAAAATTCTTAATGAATTTTACTTATGTAGCTTATGTATTAGGTTTATTAGACAGATCTGACTCATTTCATTATTTCTATTCTTCCAATGCAGTAATATATGTATCACTGGGGGTGTGAATAAATTAAAATAAATCATGTGTCTGTAGAAATTATCATTCTGTGAGAACATATTCTACTTGTTTACATTTTATCGCAGTTGTTGCTTGTGCTGAAAATTCATTCGCAAACCTAGAATTAGTCTATTCTTGAAAAATCAGCTTTAACACCCTTTACCGCAAAGTCTGTAGACACTATAATTGACTGCGGTCAGCTGGTGCAAATAATGTTAAGTCATATAAAATGAAAAAACAATATTCTCTGACTTCTTTCCACATTTTAGATGCATAATGCTACCTTTTTAGACATATTTTAAATTTTTGAGTGTAA